ATGTACTGATATATGAACAATAAGAGGGCATTGACAAAAATCTAACCTACCGTTGAATTAAAATATTTGCCTTCTATTTCCATATAAACACCAGACAGCAGTTCCTGCTACTTTTCCAAACATTTTCTGGCTCCTGAGGCCATTTTTCTTCATTCTGCATATTAGAACAAGCATAAATTATTTCTGCACGCAGTCTTCCTGAAATGCAGGCCAGGACAGTTTCCTTTTGGTAGCACAATACAATAAAACTAATGTGGGAAGGCAGTCGGCATTGTGAGTCTCATATTAAATAGAAATCATTAGCTACAGCTAGAGTATTTTTCAGTGCAGACCAGCATCTGTTTCCTTTCTGATCAAGATTCTTTTGGGGTTTCATATCCAAATGTTTGTAGTTTTCACCACTGTGATACCTGTACAGCATGTCAGTATGATTATCAATCTACTTTTCCTTTTAAAGGTATCAATAATAAACTACATTTTGGTTTATAAGCACTTCTATGATCCAGTCATGATTTTATAATCCGATGTCACTTCAATATTCATTTCATATACATTATAGAATAGCATACAAGTAGCATTGTGCATTCATTGACAAAGAGCAACAGAGATGTATAAAAATTGTCTGTAAAATGGTGAATGAGGAGGGAAATATCAAATAAAGGGGCACTCTCTGTATTAAGACATAGAAGAGTTTGGTAACTTGTTACTCAAGGGACTGACATTGCATAAATACACATAAAAAAGATATGCCACTGGGTTTAAAATTGAAAGGTGGTAGCAGTTTTTGGTCAGCTTTGCTATAATAGGGAACTTCCAAGGCATATAGCAAGGCAACAGCAAAGCATCACCCCACAGGACTCAATAAATACAGTGGCTTATACAGTTGACTGTATAGAGAAATGCATATGCCTACAAACAAAGCTGTTGTACCAACAAACTGAAGACTCTATTACAATAAAACTTAGGGAAGAAACGTGATTAGGAATATACATCTATAAAACAGGGAACCTGCACAAATTTTAATCTATTATATTTTAAAAAGGAGAATTATGCACACAGGTTGATAGGATGATGACATTTAAACTAAGAGCTTTTCTATTCGAGTCAAAGTGGGTAAAACCACTAGCAAAAGAGTAAGTTGGAACTACCAATTGTTTATTAGTTTGAACTTGCTAGGAGCTCCAAACACAGGTTTTTATTTATGTCTATTTCATTTACTTATTTCTAAGAAAAATACAAAATGTTATAATGATGTAAATTAAATACAACTGAGCAGGTCAGAGTTTCCTTTCCATTTAATGCTTCTTTGGGCAGGAAGCAGTAAACTGTAAAATCAAATCCTGCACTTAAAAGTACTCCACAAAACCAAAGCATACCTCACAGTTAGCTGTTAAACATCTATGACAGCAGGGTATTTCTAATTTTACATAAATGCAGCAAATGATAAATGGGGTAAGGAAGAAAAAACATTAAATTATATTACAACTGATACAAAAATTGAAGTTGCAGATTGATGAAGTCATAATTTTGTATAAAGCAGATGATCTATTGGAAGACTGAATAATTCAGGTCTATAAAACTACAGCCACATACTGATGTGTGGGCACAATTAAGATCAGAATCCATTAGTTATATCAAGTGCTTCTTAAGAAGTTACATGCATCGATTCCAAAGTAAATCAAAAGTTACTACCTTTGGGTCTGTGGAATGATACTAGATTGTACTTTTAACTCCATAAAAACTGTCAGCTCTATTGCTAGGCACCACCTAATTTGATGTTGAACCTCAGTTCTTTTACTGTTCTAGAGAAAACTGAATGCAAGTAATTCTGGCATCTATCACAGTTTAACTTGAACATTCCTGCCAAGCCATTTCCTACAGTTCAGTTTGGTCAAACTTGAGGGGGGAAAAAATACAAACCTGTACAGACAGATGAATCCCATGGGCCAAATTTACCACTGTCTTAAGCTTATCTGTCTCAATTTACTTGAATGGAGTTGTAGCCGATGAATCTGTGCACTCCTGTGACCATTAGTCACTCTCTCTGGTTCTCCTTCCTGTTCTGTCTCCTACCCCTAACTGTCGAAGCAATAGTAATTACAGATATTGACTACTTGGTAGGTACACAACTGGTGTTAATTTGGATAAAACTAATGTTCTTCATCAATAATGTCAGGGAGTTAGAAAGGTGGTATAACAATGTAACTTTAACCAGTTTCAGCTAGAACAAAAATATACTGATGTATATAATGAAGTACTACTATATAAGAACACATCTTACTTTGAAAGCAAACCATTCGTGTCAAACCACAACAGTAAGCAATTTTGTAAAATGACTGTCATTATATATCCTTCTGTACTTTAACAGTGTCACTTTCAACTCAAAGAACGGATGTAAAAAGGTGTAATACTCAAATGCCATAAATGAATTAAGTTTTAGAAGTGATCGCAATTCTGCCGATAAAGATTTATACAGTTTTCATAGTTGAAGCTGTAAGAATAACATTCTACATGTGAGCTATATAACTTTTGAACATTTAGTCAGTGGTGTCAATGTGCTCTATTTGACTTCTCTAATCAACTCTGGAACCGTGTAACAATCACTTTTTCCATTCGTGACAATATTGACTGAATGCTGTTTTACAGTAGAAGTTTAGTATTGAAACATACTATTTGTAAAACATGGCTTAAATTTAGCCTTAGTGAACAGTGAATTTTAGAACAATTAAAAGCAACCAAAGCATTTTCAAAGTTATTTTATCCCCCCTACATTCATTATTCCCCTTGGCACGTCTTCTAGACCAGTGATTCTCAACCAGAGGGTTACAAGATTCACAGGGTTAATATTGCTGTGCAATATTAACACATTTGGTGTACCAGCACCTACACACAATCCATAAGAAAAACCCACATTTCAAATAGGAATCCAGTGTCATAATTATTATCCTGCAAAGATCTCAAAGACCGCAGAAAGGCAGAATTGCTTTAGTATTTTTCCATAGTCGGGAATGGGTGAAAGCAGAGCTAGTGTTTTCTTGAAGGGCTACTTGAGTCTAAAAAAGTTGAACCTCTCTGAACTACAGTGCCTTGGGCCTCAACCCTCACACTTGCTTCTTTTCCCCCACTCCTCACCCCCCACCCCCACAACAGCCTCAGGCGGGTCTCCTGCAACGGTTTTGGAAGTCTGCTCGAGTCTCAGTAAGAATGCCCATCCGGGCTGAGCAAGGCTGCAATAGGAGGAAAGGAGGCACCTCAGGTGAGGCAACCCCTGCCTCCCCCTCCCTATATTGCCTTCTATCCAGTTTTTCCTTAAAGGCTCCATCCAGACCAGCACAGCCCTGCAGCATGCGACACTGCAGACATGTCTATGGTGCCACCTACTGCATGTTTAGCTATTCTCTGTGCTGCAAGGGAGCAGCGCTGTGATTTTTTTTTGACCCCTGGATACCCAGGGGTCAAAAAACACCCCCGCAAAAACCCCCCCAGAGTGGCACATGCAGGGGCAGCATACATCACTCAGAACTGGTAACTGGCTAGCCGGAGCTATGCTCTGGCTGCTGGCCAGGTTCTGAACCACAGGATCACAGCTGCTGCAGCCCCCAGGGCCCCAGGTAAGGCTGCTGGGGTCAGCCCAGTGCTGACTCCAGCCTCCCCTACCCCAACTGGGGTAACCTGCTGCACGCCAACAGGCCACATGGCATAGGTGTTCCCCAGGGACAACTAGCAGCTGCACAAGGTGCACTGCTGCTAGTTGTCCTCAGGAAGCCAACTGTCCGTGCTCATGTGGACACGGCCAAAGGGTACATTAGTGACTCACTTTCAAAATGAATGCCAGAGAAGACACTGGATAATGGCCGAGTGGTGGTTTGACTTCCTAACAGCACTCTGATGCACACAAATTCAAACCCTGTCTAGTTGAGGGGGAGCTAGAACCCAGGACCTCCAGCTTTACCTTTTTCCTTCTAAAGCTACTCTGTAATGAAGGAAAAGGATAAAAACAACTCTCTTGCTTTTGTGTCTAAATCTGGTAGGCATAGGTTTTGGCCGATTTCATTTTCAGGTGTTTAAGGGTGCTGTGGGTCCACAAAGGGTACATACATAGGTCTCTACTACTACTACTGTGTATGCCCAGCCCACATATTTGTGTAGTCATCCATGTACATGGAGCTATGCACCCAGGGACAAAACTCTAACCTGCATTTAGATGGCATATTTGAGTTAGATGATTTTAAGAAAAGGTTGTGTAGATTGCCATATTTGGATACTTAGATGACAAGGAAGGGACCAGAATGCTACTCGTAGCCTCCTCATGTACCTTGAAATCTTTGTGGCAAGGGCTGCTGTGATTTGATATAGAGCATAATGGAGGCTCTGGTTATTTCCACATTACCTTTTATGAAGCTTTGGAGAAGCATACTCATTCTCTGAAGCACTTCATAGTAGAGGTCTGATTGTAATGCCAACTTGTATGTCCTGGTCCATCCTGTTCGTCCACCAGATTCTGGACAAGTAAGCTTTTTACAAGGCTCCTCTCCAGCACCTAATGCTGAGACTCCAATCTTTCTTATGCAGTTTTCAGACATACATTTGCACCCAACTCTCACCAATATCACCACCAACTGTTTTATTGTGTGTCATTAAAAAATAAAGCATTTATAGTAATTGTGGTGCTAAAATAAAATAAAATACACCCCCTCAAAAAAAACAACAACTTGAAAACATCTCAAAATTCAGACCCAGAAAGAAAAAGAAAAGAGGTCTAATTTCTTAAAGCAATTAGTACATTTCAGGGCACTGATGCACCATTTTTAATGCTATAGTTTGGCAATTAATACTGCCACCCCCAGCTGCCAGTTCTTCCAACTTGGACCTTATTACACCATTCCGGTCTGCAGTGAGGTCAACCTTGCCATCCTGTTTATTTCTCTCCAATTCCCATCTTTTCTTTTTTTTTTAAACCACTTCCTCTGTATGGAAAGCATCCATCTTAAGGTAGAAGGAAAGGAAGAGAGCGTCAGCAGAGTTATGCATCAACATGTAGGTATATGCAGTTTCAGGTCAAAGTGGGGTGCAAAGAAAATCCTCAAATCTCATGAAAATGCATCTTCAAATGACTTTCAGGACACTGAATAGCTGGCCCTAACACTAATTATAAATTATTTTGGTTAGCAGTAAATTTAAGCAAGCAAGCATGAGTTTAGAGCTCTTCAGACAGGGACATCAGGCAACAAGGAGGCCAGAAGCATAAGACATGCCCTGATCTGGGCATCCTGCATTCCACTATTAAAGCTCATTCTACATGTTTCAAAGCAAAAAGTACTTAAGTGCAACCCAGTGGAAGTTTATTTTAATGACTACTTCCTAAATTAACAGGGAGATAAGCGTCAGCTAAACTGTTAATTATCTTATACACCATTAACTAAGACTGTATCAACATCCAAAATGTATTTATTGTGAATGAAAAAATCATGTCCCATTTTTCAAGTTTGTTAGTGGGTATCTGGATCCTATACAAGGATCGAAAGCAGAATGTCAACTTGTCTAAAAGGTCTGAAATGTGTTTCTCTGAAAGAGAAAGTATTAATGTTCAAAATGCCTAGAGAATTAACCCCAAAGAGAGGAAAGTTCATAAACAAAAAAATCTCAAACACACAACAGGGAATAATAATTATTAAATAATCATTTGGGGATTTTCTTCCAACTCAGTAATATTTGTTGGTGTGTTTATTCTTAGGAGTTTGTAAGCTATATAAATAAATTTTGCTATTGTTTCCAGAGATCAGTTTTAGTAGTACTATATAAAAGGAATACAACGTCACTAAACAATAGTTTCATATTGCAAATGACGTACACAAAAAAGAAAAGCCTTTTTAGAAAGGATAGTGGTTTTTATTGTATTCTTAGAAAATACTGAATTATGAAAGATACAAAATCAATTGTTGTAATTATGTAATTTACAATCTGAATGCCATTTGACTGTTATGGCTTTAAGATATTCTGCCCAACAGATTTTAAAGTATTTTAAAACATGCCTTAACAAAGTATTTTACAAGTTCAAAACTGAATGCTTAGCTGAAAAAAAAAATTACCTGAGAATCCTGCATAAAATTGCCATCCATTCTTAAATTCTGCAAACTGGTGATAGCCTTACATAAAATTCCACATGCAACCTGAAGGTCTATTGTATATAGCCTACATTTATTTAGATACAGTTGGTTAAACACAGACCTACCTCAAACTCTACAAACAGGTTGATATTAGCAAGTGTTTAAGTATACAGGGCAACTCTCACTGTACCTCACACAAAGCCAGAGCTACTGGTTTTCCAGTGGAGTTCGTGGGATTGAATTCACAAACGCCAACCTGCAAAGAGGTTGCAGCAGTGAAGCACTGTGTTTTAGTTGCTTGTCTACCCTTTGGACTTAAAATAGTGGTCATGAGCCTTCCCATGTCCCAGAAAATTGGTGATATGGGGCACTGGACATGTCTAAGACCTTGGCCACCCCCTCTGCATACCCCTTACCCTCCTTAGCCAAGGCGTTTTAGCTACAGAAATTCAGTTTTTAGATTCTATGAAGCTACAAGCAGTTGTCAACAAATTATGGCCTGCAGAGCCACTGGATCCAGTCTGGAGCTGGGAGCTTTGGCAGTAGGGAGTTTCACTCACACAGTGGAAAAAAGCAGTAGTACCCAGGGCTTAGCACTGGTCTGCCTCAAACTTGCACTGGGTCATTCTGGTCTGCCATGGGAGAAACACTGTTGACCCACTGTACTATGTCATTCATGACTATCACCTACTTTTGAAAATGTTGTTACGTAAGCACTATACAGTTTTTGATTTAAAACACATCTGGTGGCAAAACCAGCTAGTCCTGGGGCTGCAGGGCAAGAGGGAGAAGAGGAATTACACTAACAAAAGTCTATATGGTTGCAGAAAGAGGGACACCATGAGTCTCATGGAGCTAAGAACATTGTAAAAGTCACAAACTATATATGCTAGTCATTTAAAAAGAGAGTTTCCCCTCAAGCACCTGAAGGGACAAGATACCTACAAGCAGTAGAACCCACGTGAAGTTGTAATGGAGTAGTTCCTTTCCTAAATTTCAGTTCTTTTAAGTTTTGCTATTTATGTACGCTCTGCAATGTTAATAACAATTCGTCCCCCTGAAAAAGAAAGTCATGGTATCACTGTAGAAGTGAATTAGTCTGAAATCATTTGGATGAGGTAGTGTTGTTACTTGTATTACATGCTGGTTATTAAAAGTACTGCTGAGATTTGTCAACTTTTTATATTTGGCCAAATGTTCACAATATACTCTTATAATATAATTACATTAATGCTATGTTACCTACATACAAAGAGCCTAAACCAAACGCCTTACCAAAAAAGTTAGGTTTTAGTATTCTGGAGGCAAGTTTGTCTCACAGCAAAACAAAAACGCAAAGCCAATATTTACAGTAGCAGTCAGAGCAAAGGATGATCTGTCCTATGTGCACACAAAGATATAAAAGTTGATGTACATTTTGAGGTAGGAAATGAAGAATTCCATTGGCTTGTACAAGATTCTTCTATATTGTAAACCAGTAAGAATGTTTGACATTTTCTCTGGTGAGGGTCAGTACTTAATTTCTGGGATGAGAAGAATGGCTAAGCAACGAAGCATCATTTGTACACATATTGCCTCTATATAATACAAAATGACCTAAAACAGGGGTGGGCAAAATGCGGCTCACGGGCTGGATGTGGCCCGCCAGGCCCTTTTATCCCCTCTCTGGGGCCCCTAAAAAATTTAGAAAGTTAATATTTATCTGCCCCTGGCTGCCTGTCACACAGCCCTCGATGGCTTGCCAAAACTCCGCCCAAAATAATTGCCCACCCCTGACCTAAAGTGTGGATTACTTTCTCCCTAATTGTCTTATTTTAATGGCTGGACTGTCTTTAAAAAAAAGATACACATTGAATAAAATCCCACTGGCTCATTTCCTTACTACACGTTTAAATGCTTATTATAAGACTACAAGCCATTGTAAATACACTGCAACAATTAGATTTATCCATACAAAGTATCCCAATGATTAAAAAATATTTTCAAATACAGTTTTACTGTGATCAGAGCTTAACAGAGTCTTAGACCAGTGGTTCTCACCTGGGGTGCTATGGCACCAGCACCACCACTGCTACAGCCAGGGGAACCTGCTGCACATTCTTGGTGTAGAGATGAACTGGGAAGCAGCTACAGCAGAAAGGGAAACTCCTACCTGCATTAGATTTATCAAGGAAACGCAAGGCAGGCAGAGGCACCCACTTCAGCTTCACTGTCTCCTGGAAACAGCAGCACATGGGTCAATTTAATCTGGCTGCAGCAGCAGTGCTGGTGCACTGGGATGCCACAGCAAGCCTGGTTGGGAACCAGTGAAGTAAGCTGAGACAGCATGACAGTGGTTCTCAAATACGATGGCACTAAAATCAGAAAAGTTATGAAGAGGTACCTGGAATCTAAAAAGATTGAGAACAACTATCTTAAGTGATGGCCTTGACTCTCATTACGACCAGCTATTAAAATTTAGAAAACCACAAACTGATCTGATGGCAAGTTAATTTACAACAAAAATAGCTTTTCAACAAGTACATCAGGGTAAAATGCCATAGGATTGGGGAAAAACACAGAACACTAATGATACTGGTATCCTCATCCAGCTATAGGATATCCCATTGTTTATACTAAAAGGCTGCACTCCTGTACAGACAAGAGCAGGACACATGTCTTAGTTTGTCTAGAGCAGGGGTTGTCAACTATGGGTACATGTACCCCTGGGGGTACTTGGGAAGGTCCCAGGGGGTATGCAGCAGTGGCACAGATAAGCGGGGGTACTTGGGAAGCATCAGCCAGCTGCCAGGGACCCCCCCCCCTCACCCCCCCATCCAGGGGGTACAGTCCAGAAGGGGTACACATCAGAAGAGGTACAGTCCTTAAAAAAAGGTTGAAAACCTCTGGTCTAGAGGGAGGAACCTAGGAAGGTTAAGGTAAATAAAGATAAGATGTGAACTTAAAGCACAGACATCAGTGCAGGTGTTGAAAACCAATACATTAGATTGGTTCTGAATTAAACTACTACAGAACTTTAAGAGCACTGAATTGAAACCTTCACAAAGGGGGTTTAATCACATACCAACCTCTGAGCTTTGAGTTCACAACTTTGGTTTATTTACCTTGAATTTCTTAGGTCCCTCTATGTAGATATGGTTTTGAAGCACCATGTAAATAATGTAGATGGTACTAGATAATGCAATTGCAAAATATAAAGTTTCCTTTTTCCACTCACTTTATCAGAATACTGAAACCCTCACTCAAAAGTTGAGAGGTTGGCAATAAGAAGAAAACAGATTTACTCATCTGTAGTGCATTTGTCAGTCATTTGCTGACAGAAGTCTGTGATACCACTACTTCCCTGTCCACACTGTTCTGGATGTGAAGTTTTCTCAGATGTTCTTACAGCAACTGGACATAGTTCCTGCACTTGACTATAAACTGCATTGCATATTCCTCTTACATGCTGATAGCAAGAACTCTGTTCGCTGGCTGACGCAACACTTGAAAGACCATCTGGCAATTCTATACATGATGGTATCACCGGCTCACTATCAGAAGGAGCTGTTCTCTCTCTCTCAGGGATTAAAAATGAAAGCGGACAATCTGTAGAGGAATACTTGGCAAGTATTTGTATTTGCTCGTGACTCAGTGCTGCTTCCTTACACACTTGCTGACAAAGTCCAGTTAGATTCTGCTTTGTCTCGCCCAAGGTTGACAAAATGTGATCTCTCTCCTTTAGCAAATTTTCCTTCTCATTTTGCTGCAAGAAAAAGAAACAACGTTAATGACTTCATACATACATAGTGCTCTGAAACTCATAACTGTTATACTCCTTACAGAAACTGAAAAGTGTTGTATCCAACGTATATACCTTATACTCACCTTGGGGGGGAAAAAATACACTAAAAGGATGAAAGTAAAAGTGAAAGACTAAAAATGCAACTTTTTGCTAACAGATTTTGTATTAAACCATGCAAGCTGTTTCACATGTTCTAAAACAAGCTTAATTCAACAGAACAAAAAAAATTAAAAATGCCAGCATGTGCTGAAGTAAACTATTCTCAAATATTTGTCCATGCTTATAGAATTTAATCTTTTGAGAAAATTCTGAACATGAATTTCTAAGCATCACTGAAACTTTTACACAGTCCTACTGTAGTCAACTTTCTCCAAGAGTGAAAAAATGCTTATTTATAGCTTATCTATGGAAGAGCCCATCCAGAAAGAGCTCCATCACCTTGTGAAATATTATCCTAGTGATTCCAAGCATGATTCTGGATGGAAAGCTGACTTCAGTTTTTCAACAGATTAAATCCAACCACACAAAAATTAAGATTGTAAAGAACTAATGTCAAGTTGTCAATTAGATTGTTTTCCTTATATTTTAAAATGGTTTGTACTGCTGCTATTTTACTGTTTGCTTTCATTTTGGATAAAAGCTTTTATTACTGAGGATCCTGAAAGACTTAAGAGCAACATAACTGAAAGTTAAAGAAGGCATATGGAAGCAGGTAAATCAGAAAGCAGTACCACAGTGCAAATGTGAGCGCGAGAGAGTGCGAGTGAGCACATCAGAACGAGCTGAACATCTGAGTTTGTATTTATTTATTAGCTCTCTATAACAGAGCTAGGTGATGGACAAAATTGTTCGTATGCTTAAAAGTGTCCAACCTTGTTATATAGAAGACACAAAAGTAAGTTTGCAAACAATGAGAAAGCAAAAGGATAATAAAGTTCACAGAAAATAATTAAATTACATATCCAGATGGTAGAAGCAATTTCATTACTTTTAATAGCTGTTGATTTTTTTGGTTTGGTACAAAATGGAATGTTTTACAGGTTTCTGAGAACAGACCAATCAAGCCTATTAATTAAGAGAGCAACAAAATCAATGTATCTTATTCTACAGTTGGTAGAGGGACTTGCCCAGAACAGGCAGTTCTGAAGGTTAACAGATGTGATTTGGTTGGGCAATTCAGTTCGCTAAAAAAGCTTCACACCTTTATTTTTTCTGTTTTTTACCTCCTCCAAACCTTTCCCAGTAGGACTATCCACCCTCTTCATCCTATTTTTATACATCCATTCTTCAGGTTTTAAAATATTTTAAAACCAAGGTTGTTTCTATATTTTTGCTTTCCTCTAAGTTTTTTAGTTGTAGTAGACCTTCAGTTGGTATCACTCCCCTAACACAACCATGTTAACTAGTAGTTTAAAGGGAAGCAGATGCTGCCAGGCCTTTTTTCCTCAGCAGATCAGTGGGAGTATTTTTGCTGTCTTGCTTCTGCTACTCAGCAAAGGAGGGCTAGCAGCAGCTGCTTTCTTTTTAAAGTCGCTTTCCATACAATTTGGATGTGCTGTGACACACTGGTTTGCAGTAGTGAAGTGACATGTTTTGCTGTTTCATACTAAAACGATGTCTGAAAAAAGGTGTCCTTTTTCAGAAAATGTATTTTTTTGCCAACCAGAAGAACTAATATTTGAAAAGCTCTTTTAAATAAGCAGCATTAATTTTCTGGTAAGCCTAATACCAATTAATTGTGAGTACAGTATGTCAAAATATAGTTAAAGTGCTTTCTTGTCAGGTAGAGAGACCTGGCTTATATCTGCTTACTATGCTTATTGGCAACAAGATGAAATGCATCAACTAAACAGGGACTCCTTGCAAATACTTATTATTAATATTGCTACTGTAGATCTGCACTTGGGGAACTGGCACCTCTGCTGTACAGAGGAAATAATTAAATGGCCACTTGAGCAATTGGGTCCTGCCTGATGAATTCACCCTTTGCCATTCAATTACTGTTCAGACAACCCCTACAGAAAAGGACTTTATTCATTTAAAAACTACCAAGACCAAAGAGGAAAACAGAATACAAGATAGAAAAATTTTCTTACCAAGCCTTTCCTTCTTTTACCTCTCTGGGGTCACAGTATATACTTGCGGCAAACTGCTTATTTTAAAAGTCTGTTTCCAACATGAATATTCAACTTACGCAGGTAGGGGCTGGGGAGGAGGGGTAGAACATTTCAGAGGTTCTCGGAGACATTTCCTGGGATCCCAAAAAGCCAAACCAGCCAAGCCAGTTCTTCAGCAGTCCCCAGACAGCGCCAAACACCATTTAACACCTTAGGAGAGGGGGTGGCCAACCTGCAGCACAGGTGCCACAAGTGGCCCAGGCACTGTCTGTGTGAGAGACTGAGGAAGGGACAGGGAGCGCAGGGAACACAAGGCAGGAAGCAAAAAGAGCAACAGCTAGGGCAGGGAGCAGAAAGCTGAGCAGCAGTTCAGGTAAGGGAAATTAATCAGAGTGGCACTCAGGGAGGGTACAAGCACAATTTGTGGCACACCTGCCAAAAAGGCTGGCCCCTACTGCTCCAGGAAAAGTCTGTTTACTAGGATTCTTACCTATCCACCAAGACTATTAACCAGTAATGGCCCATGAAGTGCTTCATTCCCTTTTCCCCATACATTTACGTTTTTCACTTTAGTTACATTGCAAAACTCATTAATACTTTCTTTGTTTGTTTTAACATGAGTCTCAAGAGTTCCAGGGTGGGTAGAGGGGGACAGAACTTATCTTAAAGCATAAAATTAAGTTAAACAATTCACTTAATATACAGTATACAGTGTCTATACAATCTTAGGAATCTAAAACGCATACAAAAGAAGTGTGCGCGCTTCAACACCTTCTGGCACTGAATATTCTGCAACTTTAAAAAGCAGCATCTGTTAGAGCTCTTCATGCATTTCTCTTCCTTCACTGACAATATTAAGAATAAAATGTATATCCATTATTATACATCTAATAGATAGAAGTGTTGCCTCAATCATCCTTTAGTAACCAGTTTTAGAATTTGTGGGAAACAAATATATGGAGCCCATCCTCACCTAATAAATACCCAATTTAAATACCCAATTAAAGCAAATATTATATATTGGGCAGCTCACAGAAGATGGGATAAGATATTTCAAGGGAGCAAAGCCTGAAAGAGGGTCAAACTGAGCATCAAATTCTGAGAAGCAAGGCAGGACTTCAGTAACTTTTTATTCAAATACATTTAAGGCTTAAAGTAACAGCTTTGTAAACACTATGAGACTGAAAACAGGCAACAGATGCTTAGTGTTCTGCATTCTCAGTTTTTATTTAGAAAAAAAAACAACCCGGGAATTTTTCAGGGTTTACCTTGGAAACATAAAAACTAGGATGAAATTGGGATTAAAGGAAGAAAAGGGGGAAATCTGTTTGAATTGGGGAAAGCAGAGGGGGGGGGGG